TGTGGGTTAGATTCCGGGACCCTCTTTCAGTTTTACAGACCCCACGTAGTTAACAGAAGGTCTGTAACCTTTAGGCTGAGAGTAACTCAATTCCTTATTTTCGTTGGTGTATTCACAGAATATCATAGATGAGTTTTCTGGTCTGACCCAGAGCTGTAAACAATACTGCAAAGGCATGAGACTGCACTAGACGAGGAGGAGGAAAGGGAGCAATGACCTAAACGCTGCAGAAGGGAGAATGTGTAATTTAAATAAATGAGGCTTTTTATTAAGCCACTAATTGCTAGCTTTCTCAATATAAAAGTTCTCAGGTCTTTGTCTAGTTGAGCAGCACAGAATTCTGTATATCCTGAAAGTACCAACAGTGCAAAAAGACATTCTTTAGTTTTCCCTGACAAAATGAAAACAAAAAACCAAAACCCCCCAAAAACACATTAAGTGGTAGCCCTAGGTCTAGAGCTTATGACGAATAGTGAAGAAATGCAGCAATTTTTATTAGGTGAATTTTGCTAATTCCTCAGCTATAGTTACAGGAAAATCTGAAGATCCCGAGGTTTGAGAATGTTCCCTAGGTGTTTACTCAGGTCATTATGTGACCTGAGAAAAGAAATTCTTATTAATCCATGTATACAATGTGTATTTTTAAGCAATGATATTAATACAATTGTCAAAGTCTTATACGTAAGTCAGCCTTACTCTCCATAACCAGCTCTATGCACACTAGGCCAATTAAGTTGGCACCAAACCCAGCAAACTAAACTGCCATACTAAAAAGGTGTCTGAAGAAGATTCAGAGTAACTTATTCTGGCTCACAAAACTTGGTTATGTTCATACAGTTTCAGGACATTACTTTCAAAAGTGAATTGGAACCTAAAGTTTAAGCTGTATTTTAAAATATTGATATTAAATGTCACGACATCTAGTGTATCATGAGAACAATGGAGATTTACCATTAACATTTGATGTAATTTTTCAGCTTATATAAAATCAGTTTACAAAGTCTTCATTTTTATAAACAAAAAGTCATATTGTTAATCATGCTACTCTTTTAATGATCTCATATGGTAAGCCATTGGTTCATTCTTACATAAATGATATTTAAATAAGGTTATAAAGTATAATACATTATTATTAAAAGGATGAAAACTAATGAATGATTCTAAATAATGTCACAAAGCCCATGGGAAATTATTTTGTAAAATGTATTATTTAACATCTTTGATAAAATTACTTTCCATGATTTACAGTTATTTTTCATATATGGTTTAAGGCAGCTTTATATTATTAACACAACTTCTTTATTTAAAGTGTTTTCAATCCATCTCTACTATCTTTTATTTTTGACAATATGAAGAAGGTACAGCACTAATGCGTAAAACTGTTTCCTTTTCCTGGGTATTTTTGCCTATTTCCTGTAAATGTGGCAAGAAGCAATTCAACGTCTCAGCCGCAATTTAGGCAAATGTCTCCACCTAGATTGTCTTATAAATGCTAATGGAAGACATTTTTAGTATTTTTAATAACTTCAAAATACTGAGTTCTTGAATAACTACAGTTCACTAAACTAAGAACAGTCACGCATTGTGTAACGACATTTTGGTCACTGACAGATCACATATATCGTGGTGGTCCCATAAAATGGTAATGGAGCTGAAAAATTCTTATTTCCCAGTGACACTGCAGCCCTTGTAACATCATAGTGCAATGCATTACTCATGTGTGTTTGTGGATGTTAGCATAACCAAACCTACCGTTCTACCAGTTGTGTAAAAGTACAGCAACATCACCAGCATCTGTTGTTTTCTGACTTTTCAATAATAGCCATTCTGACATGTGAGATGGGCTCTCATTCTGGTTTTGATTTGCATTTCTTAAATGATCAGTGGTGTTGGGCTTTTTTTCATATGTTTGTTGGCCACATGTATGTCTTTTGAAGTGTTTGTTCATGTCATTTGCCCACTTTTTAATGTGTTTTTCTTGTAAATTTTTTTAAGTTCCTTGTAGACTCTGGATATTGGATCTTTGTCTGACAGATTGCAAAATTTTCTTCCATTCTGTAGGTTGTCTGTCCACTCTGATGATAGCTTGTTTGGCTGTGCAGAAGCTATTTAGTTTAATTAGATCCCATTTGTCAATTTTCACTTTTGTTGCAATTGCTTTTGGTGTTTTCATCATAAAACTTTTACTCATGCCTATATCCTGAATGGTTAATGAAAGACTGGGTAAATAAAATGTGGTACATATATACCGTGGAATACTATGCAGCCATAAAAAGAAATGAGATCATGTCCTTTGCAGGGACATGGATGGAGTTGGAAGCCATGGTCCTCAGAAAACTAACACAGGAACAGAAAACCCAACACTGCATGTTCTCACTTAGAAGTGGGAGTTGGTTGATGACAACACACGGACACATGAGGAGAACAACACACACTGGGGGCCTTTTGGGTGGGTGCTGAGAAGAAGGAGAGCATCAGAAAGAATAGCTAATGTATGCTGGACTTAATACGTAGGTGATGGGATGATCTGTGCAGCAAACCACTGTGGCACGTATTTACCTATGTAACTTAAAATTTGAAGAAAAAAAAGTATAGCACATGCCGTTTTGTATAGCATATAATACTTGATAATGATAATAAATGACTATATTACTGGCTTAGATAATTTTTTTTTTTTTTGAGACGGAGTCTTGCTCTGTCACCCAGGCTGGAGTGCAGTGGCCGGATCTCAGCTCACTGCAAGCTCCTCCTCTCGGGTTCATGCCATTCTCCTGCCTCAGCCTCCCCAGTAGCTGGGACTACAGGCACCCGCCACTTCGCCCGGCTAGTTTTTTGTATTTTTTAGTAGAGACGGGGTTTCACCGTGTTAGCCAGGATGGTTTCGATCTCCTGACCTCATGATCCGCCCGTCTCGGCCTCCCAAAGTGCTGGGATTACAGGCTTGAGCCACCGCGCCCGGCCCATGTTTTACTTTTTACTGTTATTTTAGGAGTGTATTCCTTCTACTTATTAAAAAATGTTAACTGTTAAGCAGCCTTGAGCAGGTCCTTAGGAGGTATTCCAGAAGAAGGCTTTGTTATCATAGGAGATGACAGCTCCATGCCTGTTATTGCCCTTGAAGACCTTCCAGTGGGATAAGATGTGAAGGTGGAAGACAGTGATATTGATGATCCTGGCCCTGTGTAGGCCTAGGCTAATGTGTGTGGTTGTGTCTTAGTTTTTAACAAAAAAGTTTAAAAAGGTAAAACAATTTTAAATAGAAAAAAAAGCTTATAGAATAAGGATACAAATAAAGAAAAAATATTTTTGTACAGCTGTACAATGTGTTTGTGTTTTAAACCCAGTGTTATTACAAAAGAGTCAAAAAGTAAAAAAAAATGGAAAAGTTTATAAAGTAAAAAGTTACAGTAAGCTAAGATTAATTTATTATTGAAGAAAAAACAGTTTTAAGTACATGTAATGCAGCCTAAGTGTACAATGCTTATATAGTCCACGGTAGTGTATAGTAATTTCCTAGGCCTTCACATTCACTCATCACTCACTCACTCATGTACTCACCCAGAGCAACTTACAGTCCTGCAAGCTCCATTCATGGTAGGTACCTTACATAGCTATACTGTCTTAATCTTTTATACCATATTTTCAACCTAACCTTTGCTATGATTAGGTATGGTTAGGTAAACAAATCCTTACCATTGGGTTACAATTACCTACGTATTCAGTATGGTAACATGCTGTACGGGTTTGTAGCCTGGAAATAACAGATTATAGTACATAGCCTAGAATGTGCCAGGCTGTAGCATCTAGGTTTGTGTAGGTACTCTCTATGATATTCCCTCAATGATGAAATAACCTAACCATGCATTTCTCAGAACTATCCCTTTTATTAAGAGACACATGACTATAAACTGAGGAGAAAGCAGAGGGCCAAACTGTTAACATGGCAAACCCATGTTATTTGATGATGTTTGCTGAACTTTGCATGTATGACAGGCTAAGCAGCTAAGTATATATCATAAATTCTGTTTTTAATATCACTATTAATTGCAGTTCAATAAAACTAATCTTTGAACTTAATAATCTATACATATACTTTATAACTGTGAAGTAGGAATGAAAAATTATTTTCTACCTTTTTAGTTATGTTATAATTTCATTATATATATATATACACACATATACATACTTTCATTACATATAAACTAGATGCATATAAATGTTACCCAAATTGATAAATGCAATCATTTCAACATATTTTTACTTATTTGCATTTTTAATGCCATAATTCCACTTTTACAGATGAGACTACTAAGGTTTAGTGACATTAACTGTTACTTAATTTTTGTAGCAGATAAATAACGAAGCCTCTTTTGAAACAGAGATTTTGGCTTATGTTTCAGTGCTTCTTCCACTGAGGCATAGTTCCTGCATTCAAGGTTTTGGTTTCATTTGTTGTTCACATTTGATTTGGGTACACAAGGAGACTTCTATTGTGGTAGAGATTTGGAGTTCATTCACAGATCATATTTTTTCTACCCCATCATTTTGCATAGGAGGAAAGTGAAGGCCAGTGAGGTAGAGTAATTTGAGAAAGCCACACAGAGATAATGACAGAACTAGAATTCTAGCCCTGCCCTCTTTTAGATGACATCTTGAAATAAAGACATTTTATCTGAAAGATCACAGCTTAATCTCAGGAGACAATCAAGTATACTTCAGTGTGTGTGTGTGCGTGTGTGTGTGTGTGTGTGTGTGTGTGTATAAAATGGGTATATATATATATAAAATATATTTTAAAATATATATTATTTTCTCTAGGCATATTAAAAGTACACTTGAGATGTATTTTAACATTTTTAGGATACATTTCTAAACTCATCTTATTAAAGCTCTCAAACCCAAAACAGCCCATGGGTAACCTGGTGTTCCAATGCATTTCCATCAAATGAGAAAAATGTGAGGCCAACAAAAAAGAGATTTCTCAGGAACGTTGTGCTTACCTTCATAAGTCCCACTTTCTAGGAGAGCACCACTTTTCTCCAATTCCATAAAATCTTCAACAGTGATGAAAATATAATCCACTCCAGGGACCTCACCCTCCTTATGTGGCCTTGTGGTGCCTGAAGAAAGAAAAGTAAAAACAGAAGAAAGATGCTAAGGGATTTGTTGTTGAACTTCAGAAATACCACCATACTTCTGAATATTCAGTGCCACTTGTTTGTACATCCTGCAAGTTGGCAGTTCGCATTTGTCCTCCTGTTTGTTTGGCAACAGAAAACAGCAGGGGGTAAAGATGAAAGTAAATGTACAAAGCACTTTTCTTCGTCAAGCTTATAAAGAGTTCATTGCCATGTGATACGGCTGCATATATTTTTCGGTGAAAAATTCAGAACATTGTGCCCTTTTTGAAGAGGTGGTTTGAATATTGAGCCAGCAGTCTGCTACTTCAGGAATTTATATATTTCACTCCATGAATGAACCTCTATTGTCCTGCAGACTGCTGCGCTATGACATAAAATACAATGGCAAGTAGCGATCTTAGGAAAATGTCAAATTATCTTTTTATTTTCATAATCTGCTTTCTCTTGGGAGGACTGTTTGTTGGTTTTCATTTGTTAAATTTACACCCAGAACCATTTTTATGTGATTTAAAGGATCACAAACCTTTACTACTACTTAAAATTAAATAATAATTAGAATTGTGTTATAATTAAATTGTACTAGTAATTGTGATGCTGGGAATATAGTATCTAATTTGACAGGAGGAAACTTTCTCTGACTCCATCACATAGGCTCTCCCTTATGTGGCCTTCCTTCTTTCATTACTGCCACTAATTCTGACTGAAGTGACTCCCTACCAAGGGTTACTGCATGGGACCACTGTTCCTGACTCCTCCATCACCCATAGAGGGAATGGAGCTATGAGGGCCAAAGTGGCAGGAGTATCAGCTGCTCAGACTGTAGCTGAGTCCAGCTCTCCTGAAGAACACAGCCTTCCAGGAATGCTGTCCAGTTTGTGAGGCAAGAGCAGAAACAGAAACATATTCAAGGCTGCAGGTTTGTTTCCAGGTAATACTTCCTTCCCTGAATATGTCCTAAGCTTCTTCCTTTTTCTATGCCACCTACAGAAGACATTTTCATGGTCAGATTGGAATTTACATAATTCATACATGCAAAGAAGTATGCAGAAATATAGAGGCCAAATATATAAGGTAGTACATTGGCAGGCTTCATATATATAGACTCCCCCATATTGTCTATATGCTAAAAAAGTATTTTAAATCCTTAAATTTTATTTTTGTTCTCTGCATTTGAAATCTTTATCAACTAGGTCATGAAAATAGCCAGTCAGTTCTCCTTTTGGTCTATTAGAATCAAATCTGGACTGCAACTGAGAAGCAGAAGCTAATGTCAGAATGTACAATATGTCAGGAAAATTTGATTTTGGATAAAAATGAATAATTCCTATTGAAAACATTTTTTAAGATTTGAAGTTATTATTTTCTAAAATCAAGTTTTATAACTTGTCTTTGGGGGTTGCAAAACAATTTTTTTCCATAATCATATTTAATGACTTTCCCTGAATTGGTTATTTTGTTTAACTGAGCCACATTTTGCAGTTATTTCCTACTGCTTTTATGCTATAAATACAAACCACCTTCATCTAGTATGCATAATATTGTCAAATTAATGTTTCTATGAGAACCTTAACTTTTGATATTCTAACTTTTATGTGCTTAACCCTTGTGAATTAAAAGTGCATTAATATGGTTTTTGGCAATCAATTTGTTTTTCTGTTTATTTAGAACACACTCCAATCATTAAGAAAAAAATCACAAAACAAAGACTCAATTTTCCTTACTAATTTATCTGCATATTTCAGAAGCTACACACTTTAATTAACTGCTTGCAGTATGGTAATGCATTTCTGGCACCATGTGAGCACCAGGATCACATGATTGAGGGCAATTTCCAGGGTTGCTGACTTGTTTGGAGTAACACGGCTGTACCGAATTTTAGTAAACATTTGTAGTTGTGCTCTTCTTGGGAGGCCCATCAGTACTTTCAGTTCACTAAATGGCTTTCCATCTCCATCTTGCACTTCAGACTTCTATGATCGAGTTCTTCCTTCTGTGATAGGCAACATCAGTGACTATAAACTATTGCTATTGATCCAACTGATGTTGGTTACCTACTTGGACTGAAAGTTCACCTACCTCATTGTGGCTTGAAGTTCTGCTCTAAAATCTCAAATGCTGCCACCTCCATCTTTGACATCAGTCTCTGATCCTTTTTTCCTATTCTAATCTTCTTTGTAATTATGATCTCCAGTCCCTGATCTCTCGTAATTTCCCTCATGTTCCCCAAATCTGCTTTACTTGCCTCCCTAACTACTAAAGGACTAGGAAAAAACCAGAATCTCTTCTTTCCTTTAGTTCACCTTCACGATTTCACCACTCGTAATTAACCCCCATGTTCACTGTTGGTTATTTCATTATTGACAGCAGTTGCTATAAAAAAACAAACTTTCTTTGACAAAGTACTCCACAAATTCAGATTACTTAATGTCAGTTTGATCCTCCTGAAGCTTGATAATTCTTTTGTGTGTGTCTTCTTGTCTCTCTCTCTCTTATATTCCCAACATTTTCTAATATTCAGCTGCTTTGACTTTTTGCAGAAAACATGAGCTCATTCTTTCTTGGTAAAGTAAGAGACAATCTGAAACCAAATTTCCTAAAGTTCCCTAGTTTTCATTTTTCTTATCTGTATTACTTTAATATTTTTCCTTCAAAATTAAGCCTTTACTGGAATTATCATCCATCTTGCTAAGACAAATTTCTTTTCCTTTGCTTTCTTTTAGAATTACATATTTTAAATTAAATAAATAAAATATTTTATTTGACAAAGTTACATATACAGATATTTTAAGTTTTCAAACAATTCTGTAAGACTTGTTATTTTTAAAAAGCAGACCCTCAGTCCCCAGTACCCCTTTCTTTTTATCCAGAGTCAAACACACTGATTTTAGCTGATTAATTTAACCTCCAAATCTCTAAATACTTTAATATGCCTCTTGATTTTTTACTTTAGTAATTATTTCTTGATTTTAAAGAAAATGAGAATCTAACTCTTTTTTTGTATACAATTCTAACCCCACTGCACATACCACTTCCTGCTTTCCTTCCATTCTTCTAATGGAACAATCTTGTGTTTACTAGTGTTAAGTGTTTACATTAGTAATTCTATTCCCAGCTGAAACTTGTGGTGTCCTGACTTTTTGTGTGCAACTTAAAAAATTTTTTTTTTTCAGATGGAGTCTTGCTCTGTTGCCCAGGCTGAGAATGCAGTGGCAAGATCACGGGTCACTGCAACCTCTGCCTCCAGGGTTCAAGTGATTCTCCCGCCTCAGCCGCTGTAGTAGCTGTGACTATAGGCGTGTGCCACCACACCTGGCTAATTTTTGTAGTTTTAGTAGAGATTGGGTTTCACCATGTTGGCCAGGCTGGTCTCAATCTCCTGACCTTTTGATTCCCCTGCCTTCGCCTCCCAAAGTTCTGTGATTACAGGCATGAGTCACTGCGCCTGGCCGTGTGTAACTTATTGATTACTCTAGATGTAATATGTTTTCATTTCCATTTTCCATTCATTATTCATTAAATAAACTCTCTCCTTGAGAGATAAATCTCCTCTCAAAGTTCACAAATACTTTTTATACTTTTTCAAGTTTATCCTATTGAAGAAATATTTCCAGGAGGCTTCTGACTAGCTCCAATCTGGACTGTCAGCTGCTATCCAGGGATCATCCTTTACCATCATCCTGGGGAGTCACTTTGCCTCTGTCTTGTGCAGTTTCTCCTCTTCCCTAGACCCCATGTCTATTTTTGTGGTCTACACCCTCATGGTGGCAGAGCACATCTGTCAGAAGCTTCCTATCAAAGGTTGCATGGAAGCTACATTGTCTGAGATTTTGCAAGTCTGAAAATGTCTTTATTCCACCCTCACTAGTGGCAAATCTGACAGCATTTCAGGAAAATGTAATCATGAAAATGTATTTCTTCATCTCATTCCCCTGTTTATGCCACCACCGTTCTTCTAGTCATGCTAGTTTGAAACTTTCACCTCAGAGTCACCTACCTTTGAGTCCTCCCTCACTCCTTTATCCCATCTCCAAATATTTGGCAAGCTCTATGTCCCATAGCTCCACAACATCATCCTTCCCGTTTGTACTGTCTCTGACCCCAGCACCGCCCTCCTGGACCAGGTGGTAACTGTGTCACTGGTGTGCCTGCCTCCCTCTTTTAGTTCATCACTGAACTTCCTGATGAGCCCTGGTGAAGCACAAGGCTGATCACATTTCCTCTCTAAAGGCTTGTCTATCCAATCTAAAGTCAAAAGAGTGGGTTGAAAAGGGAGAGAGAGAAAAATACTGAGAGCCAAGAAGAATCAAAGAACGCCATGATTCTATTATTTACAATAAAACACAACTCTCATGGTATGCCAGCTTGGGGAGTTTCTTTATATGGGCTTGCCTTGATGGAACGTGTGAGAGGACATAATGTAAGAATTTTCTGCTTATGTAATACCCTCCTTTCTGGCTTGTCATGTGTCATTCTTCTTTCTCTTTAAACTAAAATTTCCACCATTAGAATTACTCTTTGGTTCAGATGAAAAAGAAACTACCTTTAAAATGATGATATTTTGAAAGTAAGCTGCCTGTACTTTTTGGGACTCAGCCACTTGTTATCAGTATTACCTTGAGCAAGGTTCTCCACCTCTGTAAACTCTAGTTTTCTTATCTGTAAAATGGGAACAATAGTAGTAGCATCTTCATAGGGCTATTGTGAGGAACAAATGGGATAATTCATATAACATACTTAAGACAATGTCTAGCACATTTTAAATACTCGACAAGGATTATATGTTAAGTACTATTGCCTGAAAGAACAGAAATGACATCATAGATTTTTTTTACTTGCCATAAATATTAACTGAGTACTTACTATGTGCCAAGCACTATTCTAGATGCTTGAGCTATATCTCGGAATAACACAGACTAAGATTCCTGCTTTCATGGAACTAATATTTTAATAGGGAGAGGCAGATAATAAATACAAAATAA